ACTGATAACTGCCTATTAAAATACCAGGCCATACAGTTAGAGGGTCCTGCTACTCAGGTTAAAACCTGTCCTTCTCTTAATCCTGCTACATTTATCCCCAAAGAGACCAGGGAAACATGATTGAGAGTGGATAGTACTACAATCTTACACAGTCAGGGAGAATTTAAAGGAAGCACTCCTAGAAAATCTGGACTGGACTCTTTTAATTGGTGGCTCTTCCTTTATAGACAAAGGGATGCAAAGGACATGATATGCTACAGTGACTATCACTGATATCGTAGAGATTTCTGCCCTCCCCTCTGGAACTAGTGTTCTGCTGGATGAATTAATTGCTCTTACCAGGGTTTTGGAACTAAGTGAAAATAAGTGATTAAATAAATGCTTTGAAAGCAGATATTATTTCCTCGTCCTACATACCCACACAACCATCTGAAATGAGAGAAAGTTCCTTACAACAAGTGGGTGCCCTATTGAGTACCATCAGGAGATTTATAAATCCCTGACTTTGGTTTTCCATCCCCAGGAGGTTGTGGTAATACATTATAGGGGACATCAGAGGGAACAAACTCAATATCAGAGGTAACTAGAGAGCTAACTTGGCAGTCCAAGCTGCTATCAACTAAAACTTTTCCAGGGCAGAGCATAAAATTACTATCTTGCTATGGGAACTTCCTCAGGGGAAGACAAAACACCAATATAGCCCAACAGGAACTGAACAAGCTTTGTGGGAAGGGCTCACCCTTCAGCTTTCAGGATGGTTACACTATAAAGATGGAAAGTTGTTGCTCCTTTCTGCTAACGGAAATAATTAACACACTCCTTCAAACTTTCCATCTGGGAGGAAAAAACTTTTGGGCTGGCTGGCAGGCTTTTACTGGACCTAAAATAAGAGGAACAACTGAGGAAGTGGTAAATGCATGTGAGTTACGCCTCCCCCCCCCAAAAAATTCTCAAACTTATAAGTTAACCCCACCTTGGAGTACAGAGAATGGGGCCTTATCCAGGAGAGGACTATTTCACTCACATAGAGTAAATTTTAAAAGAGTGACAAATTTTTAGATCTATAGTGGTAGTTCATTCTTAACAACTGGTTTGAAAAACACTTGAATTTATATATAGTAAAGGACCTGTCATACCTTTCCCTCCTCTCTTTACTCCTCCTCCCCAACCCCAGCCCCACTTCCTCCCTTCTGTTGAGACCCTTGGTGCCAACAAGACACGTCCAGATTCCTTGCAATGTAAATGGCAAAACAGATAATCTGGACAGGGCAGCTACGAAACAGATAAGAGGAAAGTTCCCTGAGGCTTCAAAAAACCCCCTACTTTTCTGCCAGCTGCCTTCTACCCTGCTCCCTGTAGTGGCAAATTCCCTCCTTGAACAGATAAAACCTGAGCGCTAAATGTGCTTTGCACAGCAGTCTCTTTGCAAGAACAGACTGTCACCAACCTCTTTGCTTCAAATAAAGCAACCTGTCTCTGTTGAAATCAGTGTCCATCTCCTTTTTCCATCTCTCCTTTCTGGGAGTACAAAAGGCCAGAACCCTGAGCTTTTCCAAACCTAACATGTAGTAATACTAATTCTTGTTGGTTTACAGTTTTAACAGACTTAACCAATGTGTAGAGGCCTCTACACACCACCACAATTAGGAAATGGGACATTTCTTTTCTTTTTTTTTTTTTTTTTTTGAACAGGCAGAGTTAGACAGCAAGAGAAAGAGAGACAGAGAGAAAGGTCTTCCTTCCATTGCTTCACCCCCCAAATGGCTGCTACTGCTGGCACACTGCACCGATCCAAAGCCAGGAGCCAGGTGCTTCTTCCGGGTCTCCCATGTGGGTGCAGGGGCCCAAGCACTTAGGCCATCCTCCACTGCCTTCCCGGGCCACAGCAGAGAGCTGGACTGGAAGAGGAGCAACCAGGACAGAATCCAGTGCCCCAACCAGGACTAGAACCCTGGGTGCCGGCACCACAGGCAGGGGATTAGCCTAGTGAGCCACGTGCCAGCCAGGACATTTCAATCACTACAAAACAAGCCCTCTTTTGGACCTTGCATAATAACAGTAAGAAATAAATTCATATTCAGAAAAATACTCAGAAGTATATCTATGACCAACAGAAGAAATAGTAAAGATAACACTTTAGGGCAAAGAATATTATACATGATGGAATATCAAAAACAACATTAAATATTAAGAAACTAGAGGGACTGGAGCTTTGATGTAGTGGGTAAAGCTGCCACCTGCAGAGCAGGCATCCCATATGGGTGCCAGTTGGAGTCCTGGCAGCTCCACTTCTGATCCAGCTCTCTGCTATAGCCTGGGAAAGCAGAAAATGGCCCAAGTGCTTGGGCCCCTGCACCCATGTGGAAGACCCAGAAGCTCCTGGTTCTTGGCTTTGGATCAGCTCAGCTCCAGCTGTCGTGGCCACTTTACGAGTGAAGCAGAGGATGGAAGACCTTTCTCTCTATTTCTCCCTCTCTCTGTCTGCAACAGTAACTCTCAAAAAATAAATTAAAATATTAAAAAAATTCCACAGGTTTCTCTATTCAGAGAACTGGCCATGGGAACTTTAAGGAAAAAAATTAATTAAAAAAATTAGACACATGTAGGTAATTTTTTCTTCTCTTTTGGAGATTCTTCAAAATACATTTGGCATACATTTTTGTTGGAAATTCAAAATTTTTATCCACTAAGGGAAACAGTTTGGCAGCTTTTTACAAAGTCAAGCATACACACTGCAATGCTACTCTTAGGCCCCCCCATAAAATAAAAATTATGTCACTATAAAATGACATATCTTTATTGATAGTACCTTCACTCCTAGTCAATTATAACCCTGAACAGACTAAGTTTTCTTCAAGTTACAATAGACTACCAAAATGATATATTCAACTGATGTCATAGTATTGACAACAAAATGCAGAAAACTTTTGAAACACAGCAAATGGGAAGGTTCAGAAACACATTTTTATTAATGGGAACAGTAAGAAACAAAAAAAAATTATTTTATACTGAATTATTTCATTTACCAGACATTTTGAAATGGGCCAATCTATAGGGACTGAGAGCGGATTAGTTGTTCCAGTGTTTTATTCTAATAAAATGATAAATAATAAAAGATTTTTAAATTACATTTTAGAGAATGCATTACAAGTAAAGCTGTATTTTAAGAAATCTTTCGGCCCAGCTTCCAAAGTGACCACCACTGCTGAGAGGACGCCCAAGTAGGGTCATGACCATTGCAGGCAGAACTGTAAATTTCCTGTTAGAGATGCCACCTGCCTTTACCTGGCCAGCTCTCCTCCAAGGCCAGCTAGGTAATGGAAGTCAACAGGGTGCCTCCCCAAGGAGGTTCACACCTCCCTTAGGATGTACCCTCTGAAGAGATAGATAGGTCTAGGCCTCATAACTGATAAGGCCTTAAAGCCCACCAGATTATTATCAGGCCCCTTCTGTCACTTTCTGTTTGCATCTCAATAAAAAAACTTAGTTGTGGCTTAGACAGCAGCTTCTTATTTCCTCTAGTAATGACTCTGTCCTTTGTTCTACACCCTGTCTAGCCCACTTGGGGCTCATTCCTTTGTAATCATAGCCTCTACTCTTAATCAATGGCTCTACTCCTGACCTGTGTGTATTGACGGTCCTCTTCCCCACTTAATGTTGTGTGATTGTTCAGAATCTTTCTACAGACAAATCCCCCTACCTGCAAAGAGATGACTGACTTTTCGCCAGGTCTTGGCTGGGATCAACTTTAAGCCACATCCATCAAACGGTCCTCACAAAGGTCCAGAGACCCCTGCTATTTCCTCTCCTCTATGAAATCCTCTCATTACCTGGTTAATGCCACTCATAGGATCATTGGTTGCTATTCTCACCCTGTCTTTATATTACTGTGTTTTTAAATATTTACGGGAGTTGATAATGAAACGAAACAAAGCCTTCAGCAACCAGGCATCCAGCCAAATGCTGCTACAGGGATATACTCAGCTCTCTACCCAGGAGACAGCGGCTTGAGACATCACCCCATGCCAGCAGAGAGTACCTCTTCGCCCCATGTCAGCAGAAAGTAGCTCTAAAGACAGATCATCCTCCATCTACTCCTGGATTTTTGGGACTAATGTAATCCCATACAATTCCTGCCTTATAAAAAACAAAAGACGGGAATGTTAGCAAAAGGTCACAGTCTTATCTATGGTGCAATCTACACCCTGACACCATCCTAGGCTCTAACCCCCGCTGCCATTGCTGGAAGCCAGGTGGCCACATGGCCCAATCACCAGTGTCCGCCCCACCCCCATCCAAATGGGATTCGCTGCTCCTACTTTCCTGCCCGTCCTCTGGAAAAGTTTTAAAAGGACCTGTTCCTGAACACATGGCTCTCTTTCTCCCCATCTCCTGATCTCTCTATCTCTCCCTCTCTCTCTCTCTCTCTCAGTCTCTGGAGCTCCCTCTTACACTCTCTTTCTCCCTCTTTCTCCTTCTTCACCCCTTCTCTTCAGTCTGTTAGGTTTCCTCCAATAAACCCTTTCCTTAAAAAAAAAGAAATCTTTATGGAGATGTTTCACTTCAGATGCTATTTCTAGCCCAGGTAAGCAAGCACTTTCATGAGATTCATATACTGGAGTCTTTGGTTGCTACTCTATTACCTGAAAGGCAAATAAGAAGCCAGACATTTTATGAATGTTTTAAGTGGCCAAATTGCAAACTCTAAGGTTGGAAAAAACCTAAGTATGCAGAATTGTGAAAATTGGCAATCATCACAACTGTGGATGAAAACTGTCATTCTTCCGATATCCCAATGTATTATAGTTCAGAACAAAAGAGCTCACTAAAAAATTGGTGTAGCAAAATTACTCCACCAATTTGTGTGTATCAAGCATTTAGTTAACTTAACTTTCCCACCTGAAATATGGAATACAACACCAGGTATTATGTTTCACCATTTCAGTTAAGATTCACAATTACATTGATTACAAATCAGAATAGTACCACCAAAATGCTAGGGACAAGTATTTAATGACATTAAGATCTTAACATGAAGGAAATGACTGTCCACAATCATGAATTCGTATAGATATGCATGGAAATTTGTAGGCTTGGGGAGAAACAAATGCTGCTCAAATCATCTGCTCTGCTTCTTCTGACCCACAAGTCATGCTTAAAAATCTAGGTGGAATTTGGGCTGTTGACCATATTCACTGCAAGAAACCGACTGCCGAGCTACATCCTGCTGTAACAATGCCCAGTCAAAGGTGCAGTCACATGGGTCAGTCAGCGTCTCGAAAAGGGAGCAGAATAGCTGCCTCAGATATCTGTAATCTGGAGTTTCATCAAAGTTCAGTGCACGACAATACTTAAAGTAAGTAACAAACTCGGCAGGTATTCCTTCGCATAAAACTTCTACAGGAATGGACAACTTCTTTTCAGTAACTTTTTCACGGTGTTGTTTCTTTGTGGCAGCCTTTATTCCTTGCCATGGCAGACCACTTCTAAGAAAATACACTAAAACATATCCTATTGACTCCAAGTCATCTCGGCGACTTTGCTCAGTGCCAAGATGTGTGTGGATGGCCGCATACAGAGGAGTGCCAGTGAGGTGTTTAAGTTTTCTGCATGGTATGTGCTTCCTGGTGCTGCTGGATATATACTTTTTGGCTAAACCAAAATCAACAAGGAATACTTTATTGCGGTGGCGCCCGGTACCAATAAGGAAGTTTTGCGGCTTAATGTCTCTGTGTATGATGTTCTTTGTGTGAACATATTCAATTCTACTGATCATCTGGTCAGCCAACATAAGAACAGTTTTTATGGTGAACTTCCGAGAACAGAAATTGAAGAGGTCTTCCAGGTTAGGTCCCAGAAGATCCATGACTAGGGCATTATAGCCTCCATCCTGACCAAACCACTTTATGCGGGGGATGCCAACCCCACCCTGCAGAAGCTTGTAGAATTTGCTCTCAATCAGTAACTGGGGGTGCTTGGCATCCTGTGACTCTAGTTTCACTGCCACTTCCTCTCCATTGGTGATATTAACCGAGAGATAAACTACTCCGAAGGAGCCGGACCCGATCCTCCTTACCAGTCTGTATTTCTCTCCCACGATGAATCTGGAGTCAGGACTGCTGAGGGTTGCCATCCTGACAGAAGATGGAGGCGGCGGCGGCGGCGGCGGCGGAGGCAGCTAAACGCCAACACCTCTCAAAGGATGATTGAGGCCTCTGGGGCCCATCCACAGGCAGGGCTGTGGATTTGGGCAGCGGAAAGCAGAGAAGGACGGAGGGCTTTCCTGCTGTTTCAGAACCCAGAACTGGCAGACCAGAACTGATCACCGCAGCTCAATGAGTTCTCTCCCCAACAGGCTGCCCCCCTGGGAAACAAGGGTTTCTAAGCAGAGTCCCTTTTCGCTGGGCAGCTTCGCTACCTGTCTTTCCGGCCGATGGCTTGGGCTGGAAAAGCAGTCGAAGAGTCAGGATTCGACACCACTGGCACCACTGCTCATAGAACTTCTGTCACCCCGCAGACTCTGGCCTTTTTTTTATTCAGCCTCCAAGGAACGCAAACCTTCTCAGAATTCCAGAGTCATTGTTTGCAGCACAGAGCACTATGGGAATAGGTTCGCACCACCATTTGTAAAAGCACATTTTTATTTCCTTTATTTATTTAGACATATGGTTGATAAGCAAGAAATAATTGAAAAAAAAATAGCGAGTTCCAATTTCCCTTCACCGATTCTAATGTTAACATCTGGCATAACTATAATACATCATGAATCCCCAGAAATTGAGGTTGACACCTTGTAACTAAGCTACAGGCATTATGTAGATTTCAGCAATTTCTATACATCTCATCCTCTGTGTGTGTGTGTGTTTGTATAACCACCACAGTAATCGAGATAGAGAACTTACCAGAACTATATAGGAATTCTCACAGCCATGTGGTGGCATCCCTTTCCCTCATCTGTTATAAATACTAATACTAATGTTTTCCAAGTATAAAATGTTGTCATTTAGGAGAAGTCAGGAATGTGGCGGTGGCGATGGTGGTCCCGGGCTGGCCAGTTGGTATTGCCACTCAGTATGCACTACACAGCATCAGAGCCGCGTCAAGCCCAGTCGAACCAAGCCGCGGAAGCAAGGTTCGGGGAGGGTGGCGCACGCTGACTGAGGGTGGCGGCCGTGGCCAGGGCGGCCCATGGGACCGCAGGCCCCGACACAGCATCGCCCAGTTCCAGGCCCTGCCAGCAACCATGGCTGCCAGCACAAAGCAGAAGCAGGAGGAGAAGCGCCTGAAGATACTGAAGGACAAGATGGTGGGCTCCTTCATCTGTACCTCCTGCTCCGGCAGCCTGCAAGGGTTAAATCTACCGCATAAGGTCAAAGCTATCTCTATGACAACATTTGCACAACAGGAAATTGAATTCCTACAAAAACATGGAAATGAAGTCTATAAACGGATTTGGCTAGGCATTTCCAGATTTCAGGGATCCACAAAAGTGCAAGTTTCTAAAAAAAAAAAAACATGAAAAGAAGATACCACCAGAACAAGCCAAAGTGGCGGCATCAGTTCAGACTCCTCTGCCAGTAGCACAAACAGCAACCAGAGGTCAAACCACTGAAGTCTCTCTTAGGAGATGCTACACCAGCGCCGCACTTAAATAAGAGCACGCTTACTCAGTCCCCAGTTGTCGGTTGCTCCCAAGGGCAGCAGCAGGAAAAAAAGCGGTTTGACCTTTTAAGTAATCATGACTCAGACATCTTTGCTGTTTCAACTCCTCAGGCAACAGCCGCAGCCAATTTTGTTAATTTTGCACATTTCAACAGTCAAGCAGCTCAGAATTCTGCAAATGCACATTTTGCAAACTTTGAAGCATTTGGACAGTCTAGTGCTTCGAGCAATTTTGGATTTTTCCCCCACAGCAAGTCACTCCCTTTTCAGCCTCAAACTACAGGTGGAAGTGCTGGATCCATAAATGCTAATTCTGCTCATTTTGGTAACTTCCCCAAATTCTCCAGTGCTAATTTTGGAACCTTCAATACTTCCCAGAGTCGTCAAACAGCATCAGCTGTTAGTAAAGTTTCAACAAGCAAAGCTGCTTTACCAACAGCAAATATCCAACCCTTGCTAATTTAGACAGCATCTTTAGTGCTGGGCAAGGTGATGATCAGGGGAGTGATTTGGGGACCACAAATAAAGCTCCTGTTGGTTCTGTGGTTTCAGCTCCCAGCCAGTCTAGTGCATCTTCAGACAACTATGAAGCCCTGGCAGAACTAGCCAGCGTTTTCAGTTCTGTAGCCACCTCCAGTAATGTGCATACTTCCACAAGTAATGCCAGCAGCAATGTTTTTGGAACTTCACAGTGGGTGCTTCTGCACAGACACAGCCAGCTGCCTCAAGTGTGCCTGCTCCATTTGGAGCTACACCTTCTACAAATCCGTTTGTTGCTGCTGCTAGTCCTTCTGTGGCATCTTCCACAAATCCATTTCAATCCAGAGGAGCAACAGCGGCAACCTTTGGCACTGCATCAAAGAGCGTGCCTGAGGGGTTCAGCACTCCTGCTCCCTATAGTCTTTGCACCAGCTTTAGTGGCAGTTTCCAGCAGCCTACCTTCCCAGCCCAAGCCACTTGCCCTCAACAGAGAGCTTTTTCTCAACAGCCCAGTGGTGCAGGTTTTGCAGCTTTTGGACAAGGAAAACCAGTGGTAACCCCTTTTGGTCAAGTTGCAGCTGCTGGAGTATCTAGTAATCCTTTTATGACTGGTGCACCAACAGGACAGTTTGTAACACAAAGCTCATCAACCAATCCTTTCTTATAGCCTTATATAGACACTTTACTGGAACAAACTTTTATGTGGTCGTATGACATCTCTCCGCCTCTTGCACCATTGTCTTGATCTTAGCTTGTCACTGATCTTAGCTTTAAACAGAAGAGAAGTCTTTAAAAAGCCTGCATTCTGTATTAAACACCAGGTAATATGTGCAAAACAGAGGGCTCCAGTAACAGCTTTTAACCTGTGAAGTGGCAGAAAGAGATAGCGGTATCATGTATATTTAAAATTGGCTAATGTTAGGTTACTGCAGATACCACATTTATTATGCTGCAGTACTGTACATATTTTTCTTAGAAATTAGCTATTTGTGCACATCAGTATTTGTAACTTTAACACATTATGTGAGAAACGTTACTTGGGAAATAGATCAGCCACTTTTAAGGTGCTGTCATATATCTTGGAATGAATGACCTAAAATCATTTAAAGCAATGTTTCTGAAAAGTTACAAAGTCAAAATTGGTAGGTTTTATTCAGTCTCAATTTTTTTTTCCTTTTCTAAAGAGCTCTTTGGGGCCAGTGCTGTGACACAGTGGGTTAGCACCCTGGCCTGCAGTGCTGGCATCCCATGTGGGCGCCGGTTCTAACCTGGCTGCTCCTCTTCCAATCCAGCTCTCTGCTATGACCTGGGAGAGCAGTAGAGGATGGCTCAAGTCCTTGGGCGATTGCACCCACATGGGAGACCCGGAAGAAGCTCCTGGCTTCTGACTTTGGATCAGCTCAGCTCCAGCCGTTGCGGCCATCTGGGGAGTGAACCAACGGATGGGAGATCTCTCTCTCTCTTTCTCCCTCTCTCTGTACTTCAAATAAATGAAATAAATCTTTAAAAATTAATAAAAAAAGAAATTATGAGAATGGGCATTTCTGATTGTATCTGATCTCAGAAAACAATATTCAATTTTTCTCCACTTAGTATGATATTATATGTTTTTCACAGGTACTCATGATCAGATTTAGGAACTTTCTTTGTATTCCTATTTATGGAGAATTTAATTTAATTACTAATGAGACAATGGATGATGAATTTTATGTCTCAGCTTGATTAGGCTATATTAACCAATTGTTTATTCAAACACCAGTCTATGTTGCTGTGAAGGTGCTCTTATATTTGATTAAAATTTATTTACTTATTTATTTTTAAAGATTTATTTATTTATTTGAAAGTCAGAGTTACACAGAGAGAGGAGAGGTGGAGAGAGAGAGAAAGAGAGGTCTTCCATCCACTGGTTCACTCCCCAATTGGCCGCAATGGCTACAGCTGCACTGATCCGAAGCCAGGAGCCAGGAGTTGCTCCTGGGTCTTCCATGAGGGTGCAGGGCCCAAGGACTTGGGCCATCTTCTGCTGCTTTCCCAGGCCACAGCAGAGAGCTGGATTGGAAGTGGAGCAGCCAGGTCTTGAACCGGCACCCATATGGGATGCTGGTGCTTCAGACCAGGGCATTAACCCGCTGTGCCACACAGCACTGGCATCTTGATTAACATTTAAATGAGCATAACTTGAATGATGTAGACAACCTTCCATAATGTGAGTGAAACTCACCCAATCAGCTGATAAAACTAAGGTGCCCCCAAAGAGGAAGAATTTTTATCTCTGGGCCACCTTTCAACTAATTGATCAAAACTTCTGTTGGAACTGCTGGTCTGTAGATTGGCCACACAAATTTTAGACCTGTCCATACTTAGGTGAGTCAATTCCTTAAAATAAATCAATCTCCATCTCCCTCTCTCTATCTCTTTCTCTCTTTCTCTCTCTCTCTCCACACACACAATGTACAGAATTAAGGTGACTATATTGTATAATAAAAATAAGGTTTAAGGCAAAACCTGCACTGCACCAAGATAATTGTATAAAATAATTCCTCCTTTGTATAAATATATATGTATGTATATATGAGAAATATTCATAAAGTTCAAGAAAAATGTGTATAATGAGAAACTATGGATGGATTTCAGAACTTTCACACTAAGTAAACTTATCTTTTAACTCCATTTTTTCCATGTTCAAACATTTCTACTAGATTATTTATGACTGCATACTTGTCCTTATTTTCTGTGTTCCCTTATACTTTATATAATTTAAATGCATATTTTCAATATAATTTTCATAATTGAAAGTATTTTTTCTGATAATTGCACCATATGAAAATCACAGCAGTTTCCATTAGCTGTCTTCTTTCTTTACTAGTTTTCACTGTATATTTTCACATTTTATAAGTTTTTAATTATATTTCAGCTAATGTGTGTAAAAACAGTAAAAGGTATAGTAATAATTGTTTAGAGCATTATAACTTTTAGTGTATAATATCTATTAAACTATAATATACGATCTATTACACTATAATAATATAAAATATAATTATATAAAATACATTAATTACAGTGTTTGTATAGTATCTATCATGTATTACATATATGAAACCACATATACACAGTAGCATATATTTTTCCATTTGAATGTGAGTGTCCCATCTCCTTTCACACAATTAGAGAGAACAGTTATATTGATCCAGTCAGGAGTTTAGCTGGTTTGCAGCAACTTTTCAGCCTTAATCGTTCTAGAATGGGCTGTATATTAAAATAGCACAAATCTGAGCCTATCTGTTTTGTTTAGAGGCAAAAGTCTGACTTTCTCTGTAGCTGTGGAGATGATCTGTTTTATTTTATCAGAAGTTCAATTGGATAGGGTTCAAGTTGCTTCTTTGGAAACAATCTCTGG